AAACTCACAGTATCCATAGAAGAATCTATCCAAAGGCTTAAAAGAGAAAGCGTTTGCTAGGTGCATTAACCTCTTCCTTATCAGTGTAACAAAGGGAAGAAGAAGAAGAAAACACAAACCCTCATTTGCAAACATTTTAAAGAGGCGCAGTTCCGAAAGCAGTAAGCACACAGAAAAGTAATTTGCTGGTAGTTGAGTCAAAATATCACTGACGAGTAAAACTCATGCTCATTTAAACGTGACTGCTACGTTGAGAATGGCTCCAAAATTATCATTGCTTATACGACAACTAACTACATCTTATGCTGCGTAAAATATATATTGCTTGTATATATATATTAGGAAAGTAATTACAATCTTTAGGGTAAATATTTTCAAGTACTACGCAAACAGAGGAGAGCTTTGGAAATCTTAGTTTCTGTTGGCAAGCAGTCAAACTATTTGCTTTAATAACATTCTGAAAGAAATACCCCCTGCTCCGCGAGATACCTGTGCAGCTGCATCAGCTACTATCTGTGCGCACATACAACCTTGCATTTAATAATAATAATAATAATAATAATAACAACAATAATAATAACAATAATAATAACAATAAATCTCTCAAATGTACAAAACCACTATGCGGTATTTCTGAAAAGCCTTTTTTATTATTATTTTCTTTTTCTTTTCTTCTTTTTTATAAGAAGTATTATCATAATAACTGAAGGGAAAAAAAGTGCTGGACATGCACCGTTTACAAATATCTATTGCAATGCAAATTTAATATAAGCCTTGGGGCAGGTAAATAAAGGCAAGCCCTATCAAAGCAAAATGGAAGCGCCGCGCAGGACAGACAGACAGGTTGCTAAAACGCGTTACGCCTAGAAATACAGCACAGACACCACTCAGCAACTTTGCTGCTGCTAATTAAAAGCTTAACCTTGTTTTTAAAAGATACGGAAGAAAAGGCGGGAGGAAAAGAAAACCCAGCGGGCCTGTGGGGTTGTTGCTGTTCAACGTGCAAGCCTGGGCGCCCTTTCCCGACACGATCTCCAAAAGGTGACACTCGGTGGCGAAGGAGCCGCTGGCGCCGCCGCCTCTCCCGGGGGAGAGCAGCGAGTCCGCGTCTCGGGCCGATCCTGGCCGGGCTTTGCAGCTCGCCGGCCTGACCTGTCAAGCGGATTATTTTAGAGGGAGATTAATAGGGGAGGCGGGCTGCAATAATAATCGTTTTGTTTGATGTGACAACTTTGATAGGCGTTGATTTACTTACAAACTGATAGGCTTTTAATTGAGCGCCTCCATCCAGCTTGAGATGAAAGGAAAACCGCATTGAAAAGCTGCCCGAGTGCCCTCGAGCCTCAATACTGATTAGCCATCTCGACAGTGAATAGTTCAAGGCATTTTCAAACTTTTTTTCCTCGCTCGCTCGCTCGCTCTCCTCTCCTCCTCAAATATCTGCCAGCCCACTCCTTTTTAAGAGAAAATAAATCATTTCCATTGTGTGCAAATAAAATCGACTTGACATGCTTGCCAATAGCTGGTAGGTAAAGGAAAGTGTGGACTGGCACTTGTTAATTAATTCCTCCTTTGCTCTCCTTTTTCTCCTTTAAGTTGCAGTTTTCCTTTGTTAGAGCAGGAAGACGGGTCCGAGCCCGGAGGATTTTCCAAAGGCCGAGAGAAACAAGAAGCACCCAAACTTCGGCGGGCGGCACGAGGAGCGGCCGGCGGCGGCTGCGGGGGCGGCTTCCCGCGGGACGGAGCCCATCCCCGCGGCGGGGACAACCCCGCGCCCCGCCACGCGTGTCCGGCCCTAGCGCGGCGGCCGCGCCGCGAGGCGCCTTCCGCGGGCGCTGAGCGAGCTACGAGGCGCCTTTGCTTTGGGGGGCTGCGGGTGCCTTTGAGGCTGATTTTTTTTTTTTTACAGGTTTCTACATAAAAAGTTTACAGTGCAGAGTGCGATTTAAATCTCATTTTAAAAGGCTCAGAGGAAAGAAAAAAAAAAAACAGGAGAGTGGGAGGGATGAAAAAAAAAAAAAAAAGCTGTCCTCTCAAGTTACTAATTAAACTACCGTCGCCTTCAGCCCGCGGTTCGCGCTGTCCCCCTCTTCCTCAGGCCGCTTCTCCGTCGCGGCGCCGCCTGTTTTATACACGCACCGGGTGTCGCCTCCGCTTGCCCGGCTTACAAGTAAAAGAGCCCCCTCCCGAAGCTGCCCTTACCTCCGCAAGGAAAGAGACGGAAGGGAAAATGGGCAGGGGGGAGCCTTCCCACAGCTGACTTTACCTTAAGACAATTAATCTTTAGTCTTTCACCCTGGGAGGCAGGATAAATACAACGAGAAAACAGATAGGAGTCTCCCCGGTCCTGTAAGGAAAACAGCTGTTCCAAGCACTTTAATGCAAATGAACACAAATGAAGGTTTCAGCTTTTTTTTTTTTTTTTTCTCCTTCTTCTTCTCTTCCAGAGTTTTACTGCACTCCATTTATCAATTGGACTTGACAACAAAAGAAAGAACTGGGGGAAAACCTGGGGCAGATTCAAGTCACTTCCACTCCGTATAAAGGAAGGGGGGGAAGCTCCTTAAGGGCAAGTTGGGGGTCTTGTCAGTCCTATTGCAATATATATGTATATTTTTAAGTGCAAGTTTTCCTTCTCTATTCCCCCTCCACCATTTCATTTTCAGGGCCTCATAAAATGACCGCGGTGATTGCAAAATTAAAGTACATTTATGACTTTCCATTGAGGAGTTGTCGCGGAAAGCCATAGGATTTTAGAAAAAAAAAAATATAGAAAATAAAGAGTTTGTTAAAACTAACTTTATCCTTACAGAAACTGGGGGAGTTGTTCATATTTACCCATTCTGCACATATACTAAAGGGGGGGGAAGCGAAGAAGCTTTAGTAAAAGACAGTAAATACAGTTATGTGACGACTGGATTTAAAATACACCGATTTACAGGGAGAAGAGAAAAAAAATAAAAGAGAGACCTAGGGAAAAAACAAAAGTGCCGTATGCCTACCTAGGAAGAAGAGAAGATCATTAAGGGCTATCTGAAACATCTGCTGGGGGACATTGGCGTTTCGAGGGGAAGGGAGGAAAAAAGGAGAAWATGAAGAAAAAAAAAAGAGTTGGTTCAGCAGATATAAACACGAGAAAGTGAAAGTCCTTCCTCTCGCCCACCCCTTCCAGGATCAGCGCCTGTTCTGGTTGGAGTCCAGGTCAGGAATTGGACGCGACCCCTAAAGCACTTGCCTTGTTCTTCACTTGTCAAACGTGTTTTATCTCTAAGTGACCTTTTTGTTAATGTTGTAGATTGTGTGGGCCACCATGTCAGATCCGGAAACAAAAGTAAAAGATTGATTAACACATTTTGCCTGTGAAGAAAAAAAAAATGTTATGGGATGAGTAGGTGGGGGAGAGCGAGAAGGGAAGTACAAAGAGAGAAGGGAAAAGGCGGTGCGGGGCGCGGGGCACCGCTCCGGGCGCGCTCGGTGCGCGGAGGCCGGCGGGCAGCGGGAGCCGGCGGGCACAAGAGCGACGCATCCGTGGGGCGCCCGGCCTCGCTGGAGCCTCGCTCGGGATCGCGCCGGCGGCTCCGCGCCCGTCCCGGCCGGGGCTGCGGGCGGCCCTGCCGAGCCCCCCATCCGCGCAGCCTTTAATAGCCGAGGGCGAGGAGCGGAGCCCKGCGCACGCGGCTCCTGCGCCGCTCCGCGAGCTGGGCTCGCTCCGAGCGCGGGTTATTCCTCAAAGCGAGCAGCTCTCCCTTCAAAGGAGCCCGTCTCGCAGCCTCGCGCTCTGTTTTCCTTCCTCCCGCTCCCTCTCTCCCCCTTCAAGTCACACCAGGCTTGTAATCAGCAACAAAAGCTGACATAAATCAAGGGCGGATTGACAGGGGCTGACAAATAACTGATTGATTGCGGTCGGGGCGCGGTGACAAGTGACGAGGGGCGGGAGCCCCGCGCGGGCGCGCGCGCGCGGCCGCTGCGTGACTCGGCCCGCATGTGACGCGCGCCCGCCCCAATCCCGCCGCGCGCCCCGCGCCGCCGCAGCCGCAGCCGCGCGGGCGGCGACGCGCAGGGCGGCGCTCTGCAGTTTCACGTCCGCACCGGCCTCGCTTTTGTGAGGCGGGTGGCGGGGAAAGCTGCCCGCGCCACCTCCGCGCAGCGGCGCGGAGCGCGGGCCCGGCCCGCTGCGCTCGTCCCGGGGGGCGGCCGCTCTCCTCGGGCCGCGCGCGGGCGCGGTGGGGCCGTGTGGAGGGGGCGGGGGTCCCGTGTCGCGCTCCCGATCCTCCCCCCCCGCCTTCTGTCAGGCGCGGAGCTCCGCGGGCAGCCCCGGCAGCCGCGCTGGCTGCGCGCGGAGAAATCCTGCGCAGCGCGTGATGTGAAACACAAAATTAACGCCCAGCCCGTGCTAGGAGCGAAAACAAGGAAGGAGGGAGGAGAGAGGGAAGGCGGACGAGAAAGGGAAGGAAAGAGAAAAAAAAAAAAAAAAAAGAGCGAGAGCCCATTAAAAACAGAGGGAAAAAAAAGCCCCAGAAAAGGGAACGTCACATCCCCTTGACCCTCCAATCACCTCGGGGTCCCATTTGATTGGAAGGCGGCAAAGGCTTTAATCTCACACTAATGCAGCTGCTTTTGAAGTGAGTTTCTCCGCCAGATCGCGGGCTGGACGGGCAGCGGCTCGCATCGCGCCTCAGCGGCGGCGGCGGCGGCGAGCGCAGCGCCCGCGCCCGCGAGCGGAGCCGAGCGGCGGCAGCGCGGGGCACCCGCCCGCACCCCCGCCCCCCGGCGCAGCCCAAGGATTACTCGGCTTTTTTTTTTTTTTTTTTCCTTTCCTTCCTCCTCTTCCTCTCCGGCCAGACCCCCCTCCTTTCCCTCCCCCTCCCCGCCCGCGCGCCGCGAGACATTTTATGTTTGTTTTGCCGCGCGGGGGGCGCGCGGCTCTTCTCCCTGCTCACCCGCAGACAGCGAGCGAGCGTTTCCGAGTGCGAGCGGCGCGACCTGCCCCAGTTTTCATGCGAGGCTTTGGGTCATGATCACATCGCCCTCGCTTTCTGCTATAAGAAGTAGTAAGCGCAGCAGCAGCAGCAGCCTCGGCGAGCCCGGAGGCAGCCCCCGCCGCAGCCGCAGCGCCGCCGACCTCGCCGGGCCGCTCGGGAGTAGCGGCAGCAGCAGCGGCAAGCCCTGCTTCCACGCCGTGCCCCCCTCGGACCCGCTACGCCAAGCCAACCGCCTTCCCATCAAAGTCTTGAAAATGCTCACGGCGCGGACTGGACACATTTTACACCCCGAGTACCTGCAGCCTCTGCCTTCCACGCCCGTCAGCCCCATTGAGGTAAGAGGCTCCCGCATGGCGGCTCCGCCGGCTCCCGCCGCGCTTCCCTGCGCCTTGAGCGGCGCCCGCGCCACGGAACGGGCGCCTTTTGATCTGGAGTTGGTGCGAGGAACCGCTCCCGGTTATTGCTTCCATATTTGCTTGGCTGTTTTACAATTCCTATTTAAAATAACTTTTTTAATTTCGGAATTTGGGCTTTTTTTT